CGTGCCGGAACAGCAAGCGGCCACGATGGCTTGACGACTGTGAAATGGGATGAGACATATTTTACAGCCGTATTTTCCATTTAATGTTAAAATTAGGACGAGATTATACGTGGTTGTGGAGTTTTTCTGGCATACTCTCAGGAATGCAACGAGGTGGAAATCCGGCGGGTCGCCAGATCCGGCGGATCACCCGAAAAACCCTTACAGTACACACCGTATTTCCAGACACGTGCATTGTAATGTGCGAAGAGATCTCGGAGCTCTTGCGAAAAAGTCTTAGCTGTCGATGTCCTGGGCTTTGTCGAAAGAGGTGTTCTGCCTGTCGATGCTCGTTGTCGATTGCGCAAGATAGGAAATGTACTACCTGGTGTCATCATCCTGCACGGAGAAGGAAGGCCAAGCTCTTGACATAGGGAAACGCGACGCCAGGGTTGAGGTTCACGCACCAGATGTACGCGCATGCCTCCTACTTTCCAACCCTTACCATCACCTGTACACTTGGTATGCCATGACCTGCAAGTCCAATAGGCACCTCGCTGGTGGGGGTATCTGAGCCGGTCCTGTTTTACAGCTATGAGCGAAACCGGTTTCCTCCCCCATACTCTCCCTTCAGAAAAGCAAACAAAGACCGTAGTGGTCTTGTGCGTATTGCCACCACAACTACACCAGTAGCAAATGATCTCATCGTACGTGGAGAGATACAGTACCATTAGCCAGGCATCATGTCACGCATAGCATCTCTTCCTCGCGGTTATTAACTTGTTTGACAAGTTGCTCCCACCAGGCGACCCGATTACATATGGCCAGCTCGTCAGCAAACCCACTAGGAGGCAGTTTTATCTTCACATCGATCCAGCGCCAGATATGTTGGAGGGCCCTTACTGGACTTGGACTTGAAACAACCTCATTAAACCAGCTCTTCGATACCGCCTTATGGTCGTGACATGCCGCCAACAACCCGAGCAGAAACACTGGGGATAGAGGTGCTTGTGCTGTGAACCGGAAGCCCGATGTTGGCATCACTTGCACGCGCGTCGCTAAGGCCGTCATAGACGACACGACATCGGGATAATTTCGAGGAACCCTATTCCGGGTTATTAAAGCATGAAACACCCGGTAGCAATTGCGACGCACCGCAGGGCTCGGCAGCTGCTGCCTGCTTGGTAACCCAGGGACAGGCACTGTAAGAGTATCTGTGAAGTGAGGGAGCCCAAAAGATTGACATCAAAGTTCAAGCAAAACTACGGTGGCACGCTTGTATGCCTCCTTTCTCACAAGCGCCAAAGCCCACGGCTGTATCCTCTGCGCTCGACACACTCGTCGCACCTGTAACCTTAAATCCATACTGCCGCCAGTGTTCAGCACTCTTCAGCCGCCACGTCCGCCCTAGATCTTGGGTCGTCAAGCCGGCTCCGACAGTTCGCACAAGTGCCCCAAGGGCCATTCGCGAAGGCGCCGCGTGCCTCCCTTGTTGCCGCCAAAGGGTAAATGGCCGCGAGGTCCCACAACCAGCGCTGGCTGCCATGCGGCAGCAACTCATTAAACCAGGCCTCGGCGTCCCACACCACGCCTACAGAGGGCTACAAGTGGTCTTGCAGAATCTTTACGTAAACGGTAAGGATCGTCAGGAACTGGCCGACGCAGCTTGGTGGCCCTGCCCAGACCGGTTTTGTCGTGGGGGTGGCTGGGGAATGAGGGGCGATTGTCCACTTCCTGCCAACTTGGGTCCGCTGTGACCACCCCCTCCCCCGCTTCGGGTGGTCAGTTGTGGCCTTGCATGACCTCCTTCTCTACGTCATCAGATCTCATCAGGACCCGGATGATGCAGGTACGCAGGGGAGCTTGTGGCCTCTCACCATGGCTTCCAGGAATGGGAATATCACGGCTGGCTTTGGCTGCGGGGATGAGTTTCTGGGGGTGTGGATGGGGTCACTGAAATTCACCTTTTGCCGCCATAGTGTGCTATTCCTGCACCCCCCGACCAACCGGGCTGCAGGTGCTGTAGTCGACTAGATGACCACTTGGGAGTTGACCCGCCCTATGCCCACATCAGGACAGAAGGCTGGTTTCTGCTTTTCGCTGCCACTGGCGTTGCAATGTCTCCAACTGGGCAACTGGCCCTTCGGACGCGGCGGCAGCATACCGCACAACATCGAGACATCCAGAATCAGGTCCTGCGAAACCATAATGTCCTGCATAGAAGTGGACGCACCCACGTCACGACAAGAAGGTGACATGACCTGCATCAGCCAACAACATGCAGAAACTAGACGGCAGGAAACGATGGACGCGGCAGCACGAGATGCCACCAGACGATGTCGACAAACCGGCTTTCAGCTGCGATGTATAGTAGCATGCACCTGGAGACTTGTGCCAAGATCGTGTGTCCTGACGGTGATCTGCCTCTTGCCGCCATGGGGTGCAATTCCCGCACCCCCGACCCGGCAGGTAGTCGACAAGATAGCCACTAGGGAACTGTAACCCTTTACCCACTAAAAGGAAGGCTGGTTTCTGCCTTTGCCTTGCAGATTTCCGGTTTCATTCTCTCCAGCTGGACAAGTGGCCGCAACAGGCGTGATTTTGCCGCGAGGGCCATCGCATCCATTTGCCACTATGGCGGCTTGTTGCCGCGAACTATTCCGGCCTTGGGCCTCTTACGGTTGTAAGAGCTGCAAAGGGTCATGGGCGAGGCTATGTCCACATACGACTACCTCCATCACCACCCTGTCGTAGACCAGCTTCTGTACACATCAAAAGAACGCCGTATCCTCGGCTTTACTCTACCTGGCTAATACCGGCCGTGGCTATAACTGTAATTGGATAAACGGACAGGCCCAGAAGATGGTGTGGCTACCGTAAGTCCGTAATGCAAACGTACAGTAACGGCACCGTTGTGACGTTACTGGCCCTACTCTGGACTTGCGTCCGAACTATATCTGCACATCCAGAACCAGGCCCTGTGGCCGCATAGCGTCTTGCATAGAAATGGACACACCTCCACGCAACGACGTCGAGAAAGTGACATGGCCTGTAGCAGCCGACGACAAGCAGAGACCGGACGGCAGGAAGCGCCCGAGATGCCGCCAGACAACGTCAGGAAACCGACTTTAGCTGCGGCGTAGCGTGCACCCGAAATGTGCCAAGACCGCGTGTGCTACGGTGATCTGCTTGTCAAGCTTTGCACAATGTCCGCCATCGCCGTAGTGGACAGTTAGACGGCACAAATCCCTGCGACTGCGTCTCGGCACAGACTCCACGTCTGCGAGCGGCATGTCTGGAACCGGGCGACGCCGTCCATATGATGGATTTGGACGAACCCGGAACTGGCCGTCGCCATGCAACCACGTTGCGAAGCTGATATGTACTGAAGCTGCCACACCCGACGCAAGAACTGGACGAAGCGGTTCCCCCTGCTTCGCAATGATCTGCACGGCAAGCTCTGGCTGCCGCTACGTCCCAGTGTCGAGAACAACCGGCATGTATTGTACTGTACCTTAACTGCCAACAGGAAGCAGAAGAATTGGTCGGCGCACGTCTCTGCCCTTGGTGGTCTGCATGTCAGGCATCGGACGAAGCGGGTCCCGGCCGACGCATCCCCTTCCGTGTTTCACGCCTAAACGAGCACGTCAGGGAGCGGACGAAACAGTAATCTGCATGTCGAAAACTGGACGGCGTACCCGCAGCGTCGCAGTGCACATGGCCCTGGCACACCATACGCGAATCCAAATCAGCGAGCAGCATGACACGAGGTGGACGACGCTCTCTCCGCATGGCAAGGAGTGTCATGCTGCCACCTCTTCTGGATGCAGCCCCATATCCAAATTCTTCTCCCTGACTGCGCGGGCCAGATTGACCACACTCGACCAATATTCAACGGTGTGGTCTGCTTGTCAGGAACCGGAAGACAAGGTAGCGAGAGACACCGCTCAACGACGCCCAGAAAGCGGCGTCTGGGTCTGGTCAACTGTCCACTTACTCCATGTCCATACAGAACTGGGCGCGTGTTTCCGCAATGCCACAACTCGCCCCGGCTCCATGGCAATGCCGGTGTGGAATGAAAAGTCTCTACCGGACAACTGTACCACATGGGCCAATTCATGCTTCTCCTTGGCCGGGGTTATGGAGCCTATCTGTCTCCGCACTTTCGGTGCGCAAGGGCGCACGGGATATGGCCAATTGCTCACAGCCTTCCACACCACGGCAGAGCCGGCCACATTCACAAGTCCCTATGCTGTCCTTGGCCGGAGATGGAACATTGTACGAAATACAGCAAGTGCGGGCTGTCACGGCTCCAACAAGGGACGATGGTCTGAAGTGGAATGTGTGCGTCACCATTTGTATCAGTCCAGGAAGCGGCGAATTGCAGCAGCGCGAGTAGTCAATGAGCGGACAAGTCGTGACGACCTACACGCAATGTTCACCGTCGCAGCAGCGGCCGGTGTCCATATGTCCTTCATTTCAAGCCTAGCTGTACTGTAGCTCCACAAGCTGGGCCGAATCTTGGAGCTGTGGAACAAGAAGGCAACCTTTCTTCTGGCCGCTCCTTACGGCCTTTCAGAGGGCCTTCTAGGTACTGTAGCTAGCGGATTTCAAACCTCCTATCTCATCGCGTCTCATTCTTGTTGCACTTACCGGACATCAAGTACAGTAATCGTACGTCTTGACTTACGATGGCTACGTGCTGTGGAGATTTGGACAACTGTCGGGACTGGTGCTGAGCCTCACAACGTGAAATAGGTCCTCGGCTTCTGCCTGTCTAAGCAGCCCGTCGTTGCCAGCTGCTCTGCTAAGATAGATCTTGTAGTCTGGATTCTGAGTGTAGTAATGCTCAACTTGGGCGCTGGCGTTGACTCTTTCATGCAAGAAAACTTGCATAGTTTGTCTGTGGCCTCCCTTTCTGGCGGCCTGGAGAGTGCTGCCGGGCCGCCAGGGCGTTGGCGTCTTGGCCATGAGCTGTTGAGGTGCATTCGTATCCAGCTTTTGCGATGTGGCTCATACCACCATGGGTGGATGTCCAGTTCTGCAATGAGGATAGAGAGACGCCCGCTGCGCAAGTACTGCGGTTGTCTGGACAAAGCTATTGTCTCTTGCGAGCTGGCCACGGCACAAATGGGCATGGAGGATATTGCACCTACCACCTGGAAATCCTAACGAGCGGGCCACGCAAACCCAAGTGGTGTGGAGACAAGGAAGGAGGGGAGTTGCGTGAGAAGATAGCCGGAGGACTGAATCAATAACGAGGGGCCGTCTCCTCGACGCCGTTGGCACTCAACACCCCTCACTTCACTTTCACTTCATCTGCTTCAACGGTCTGACTATGGCGCATGGACGGCGTCTGGCTGTCGCTCCCCAAGCCCAAGGCGCTGCTGCACGAGCTTGAGGCCGAGTTGCTGGCATACTCGCCCGAGGAGCTGGTGCGCATCGCCAACGAGCAGTTTCGGTGGTGCGACGCCGAGATGAGGCGCCCATCGCGCGAGCTCGACAGCGACGACTGGAAGCGGCCATGGAGTACATCAAGAGCAAGTCGGTGCCCGGGCGGGCAGTCGCAGCTGGTGGTGGTGGAGCCGCGCGCGAAGGCGCCAACTTCGTGCGCGAGCACCAGTGCACCTACTTTGTCGGCGCGCTGCAGCTGTTTGAGCTGCGCCGGGAGGCGGTGCTGCAGCAAGGGAAGATGACGACCAGGCCTGCCACCCACTCCCAGGCAGCGGAATGCTCTACCAGCGAATCCCCCACCCCCAAAGCTCCTGTCCCAGCGTACTCTCCGACCTGGAACTGGCGGCATTGCCTTGGTGTCACTGGCTCCTCGCCCTGCGATCGATCACCGTCGGCACCTCTAGAGGCTTGGTAGCCGCTACTCGTCACACTGCAAATTGGCACGACGAAGGAGGTGTGTCGCAGTTCTGCAGGCGTGCCATCCTGCCAAAGCGGGCGCTACCATCAAGCTGAGCACCCTCTGAGGGCTGGTCCACCTTCCGCCCCGCTGGATGACACATGTCCACCTTCCCCCCAGCAACACCTGTCCTCCAGCGACACCTTTCATCCAGCGACATCCAGACGCGAGAACCAGGCGTTTTCTTTTGGACAGATCGTTTTTCGGCATTACCAACCACCAGTCCATTCTCCCCGAGCCCTTCCATGATGCCGGCTTCATCCATGTTGTACCTGTGCTCGGGCTTAATGGCCTGGATCTCGGGAAGGAAGGAATTGTTGAACCAAGGCCGAATTACCTCGGTAGACGCGCCATTGACACGCGCCGAATCTCTGTGATGGCACTTCTGGGTCCGAACTGCCGGACTACGCCTCAGAAAAGCTTGCACCCAGTGTTTTCCGAGTGGGACGTGGTCTCCTTTGACGGCTAACATGCGCTGCGCGAACTGCTTGATCTGCGAGTGTGTGGGAGGGAGCCCCAGAGCGTCCTGGATGAGAATCCATTCGGTGAGTTGATTCTCCTGCGTGTGAAGGGTTCTAATAGTGTAAATTACAGCTATGTAGTCCTCATGCGTTTTACATTCGAGCTGAGGAAAGAAAGAAGGGAAGGAAATGAGGAGGGCAGAAATCCTCCAACAAATAGGATAAGTCGTCGCCACAGCAACAGCACTTGGACCGACAAGGCCCTGCCTTGTCCACCAGGGCCCAGCCCGTTACACTGCGTCTGAGAGAGCCTCTGAAGAGGAGAAAACGCATCCCTTCTGCATTCGCGGCCGTGTATTCGGTCATAGAGAGTGGCCCTCGGAACGCCCCATTGCCGCGAGGCTTTTTTCGCGGATATGCCGTTTGCGATCGCCTCGAGTGCGTCATAAGGGATTTCCCGGTGATCTGCCGGATCCGGCGATCCGCCGGACTTACACGCGGTTGCATTCCTGGTATCAATCAAGAATTACCACACAACCACGAGATCAAATAGTCTCAAATTCGACGTGTAGCAAAATCTCGCCAGGTACATATGTATCAATCTATTTCGTAGTCATCAAGCCATCGTGGCCGCTTGCTATTTCGCTGTGGTCGCCCGGAGCTCCGAAATGCGACCACCATCTCCCGATCACTCTCACAAGCCAAAGACGGTCTTTTCGCACGTGTTGTACGCACCGGAGTCGTTGTTGCCCTCGGACTT